ACCTAAAGGGTGCTCGTTTGCAACAGAAATCACCATCTGTACCAATGTACCATCAATAATACAATACGAAAAGGCTTCTTTACTTATGGCCGATATGCCTCGTGAAGGCTTGCGTTTGGTTAAGACTATCGTGGCTTTGGGAGACTCAAGCGAGACTCGAGTGTACGAACGAGTGGGGTACGATAGAAATGAGAAACTGAATCCAAAAAAATTATGAAACAGGGTGGGAAATATAGGAAGTGATGTCTTGTTTATTCGTAGGGTCTAAGACCAGTAGCTCTGCAAAGTCAAAGCTTTTGCCGTCCAGTTTGAATCGAAACTTACCGTATTACATTAAACGGAGCTCACAATGGACGTAATAACCAATCTAAGAAAAACGTGTATCTAGCTGTGGACTGATGCATCGGGCTAAAAAATAAGCTTAATAGCTATTTTTGAGAAAATTTCGCCATATAGAGGCAGCGTGTCGTGTAACTTTAATTATATATGCAGGGGTACGTTTACGTCTAGGACGAAGTTATTTGATACATTTCCATCTTTCTATTAGGCGATTTGTCACTTTTTTACAGAGCTATGTCCCATGGCATTACAAGCTTAACTGCAAATGCCGTATACTCCGACTGAAGTCGGTTACTCGTATGATTCGCCTATTCATTGTTTACCTATAACGCGTCTTCGGATCACACTGTATCCTGTGCACACTGCAAATCTGGGCTGTTTGTTTTCTTTTATACGAAATACTGCATTATCTATGAATGTTTTCGCATCTTAATCGATATACTACGACTATTGTGATTCGCAAACCATATACATTAGTGTTTCCATGTTCGTACACCGCTACACGGTTCGAGTTAGGCTACTCGACTGCTGTATCCTTAGATACACTTGTTTTTGCAATAATCCCCCCCCCCCGTCATTTTTTGCTGACCTTACCCAGTCCGCTAACGTCCCTGTAGATGTCGTCTCCTAAGCATAGCATTAACCTTCTATATAACTACGTTTACAGACATCCACATCAGCTGGAATCCGCTGCAGTAGTATAGACTATTTAATGAAGCTGAACACCAAGAATTTGGTCTGATCCAATTCTTTGAGTGGTCAAAGCAGACCTTTTGACTTTTCTTTTTATTCAACAAACAAAGGTATAAAAGAACTAGAATCTATAGGAATTAGAATCTAAGGGCTGTATCGGCCAGAACCGGCATTTTACATGTAACATGCTATAGACTCATAACTCAAATACAGAAAATTAGTCTCCCGTAAATTTACTCTAGGCTAATTGAAAATGCGCGTGGTACAGTCCACGTTCAATTTGGGAAACTTTATAAAAAAAAAAACTAAAAGAATGTTAGAGGTGAAACATAATTCGGTTTCTACCGCCAGCCAGAGAAACGCCAGGGAGAGATCGGTGTCACTGTCGGGTATGTTCGAGCGTAAGGTAATAGAGTCGTAGTTGCAGTGGATGTCAAAGGCATGAGATGCTCGCCAAAAATGAATCAACGTATTCCTCCATCTTGAGCACTTCAAAAAACTTACGGATCGTTGACATGGCAATCGAAAGCATGCAGTCTGGTTATTTGACGGCAGTGCAAAACCTTATCTTAAGTACCTCCCGTATTGAGCAAAGGAATATCCAGCGTTAGGTCCAGCCCGCTTATTCTTCATATCTAGATCCATTTTGTCATGGGGCTTTCCATGCCCCAAAGAAAGCAACTGGTGGGCAAGCATGTCCTACTATCGATTTATTACGAGAAACTATAGATAGAGGAACTCTATATATAGCAATGCGAATGATAGGTTTATGGCTGTCCAGAACAAATATATATATATATATATACATAAAAAAGCAGAAAATCTCTAACATAAACTAAAAATAACTATTCCAGTCTAACTAGTTCAAAAATGGTTTAATTTTATTTTCTAAAAACTTCGCTTGTGACAGCCCTAAGGGCTGAATAAATTGAGATAAATAGAAGCCATATTAGTGTGTTAGAGTTTAGAGCACGCGGCGAAACTTGTCTAGTGCCTAAAAAAGAATCATCTCACAATCCTGTGCTACCATCCTGTGCTTATAGCTTGCAATGTGATATAAATTTTGGGTCTTATGCGTTCGACCAAGTCCATATACATCTAGCCTAGAGAAATTTAGTCTGAAAAAGTTCACATTTTATATTAAAATGACATAAAGGTAATGCTAGTAAATGTTCTATATTATATGCCCTCTACCTTTGCTTTGGAGAATCTGCGAGGCTACGGTGCACGGGAACGTTCAACTAGCTAATCAGAATATAAATAGTGTCTAAAAAGTTCTTAAGATTTTGCTTCAGGTAGGGAGGCTGCGAAAGGATTGATTTCCGGTTGCGCGTTTTTTTTTTTTCGCTTCAAAGTCAATAGGTACGGCCTGCGTGCTAGCTTTCTGATTTTACGTCGTACACATATATCAGTGTGGCTGATCATTGGCTCTCAGAACACTAACTTTCTTTGTAAAGGAACTTGAAGACTATAGACAAAAAAAACTGTACGATACTCAACGGTATAAATGTAACTCACTCGTTACGCGACAATTATATATATATATATATATATATATATAGATATATATATATATATATATACACATATAAGCTTTATGTTTTCCATCAATCATATTAGCGGTCAGATACGAACCTTATGCTGGCTGGCAGCTGAATAACCTATCCATTATTATTAGAAAAACCATTCGGGTTTACCGCTTGTGTAACTAACTGCAACAATACGGAAATCGGCGATAATCCTTGTTTCCTTTCTCTTTTTGCCTTTACACAGGCACTTATGCCACGCATATAATTATCGATCCTTTACATACGATTAGCGTTGCGTATACAAACATCCAATACGTTGCAGCTTTTCCATCACCCCATTGAGCTACAACTGTTGCACTCTAATTGCTATTGCTGTTTAATCGTTATGGTTATGATCACTCTGTTTCTACCGCACTCGAATCGTTTGTTGTTTTTCTGTGTTTTCCAAATTGACCCCTTTTAGTGACGCTGCGTCAACTGATCCTGTTATCTTGGTTCAATCTATGCCCATGTATCAGTTAACCCCTTCCAACTGAGCTGTCGCTCATCTCTTGTGGTTATCACACTGTCCCAAGGCTAGACAAAGTTAAATATGTGAAATTTTGTCAAAAAAGATGATAAATCAGCCAAATAGGTAGCAATTCACATAATTTATACATAAAATTGAGTATTTTTTTTTTTTTTTTTCGAAAACACAGTATTTGATAGAATGAAAAAATAAAATAACTTTTGTATTCCAAGTTAAACATTTAGCCGCTGCTAAGAATAGGTCATCTTCTTTCTTTGCTTCAAAACGAACGTCTATAGCGAGATCATTGATTGTGCTTAACGTAAGACCAATCTTTTCTAACACTATTATTTTCAGCATAATCTTTCTCCATGCAAAAAAAAAACTCGAAAAATAATTACTATCGTTTTCAAAATGGATAGCACATAGATAGATACAGATTCAGAGATACAGGATTCAGATAGATACAGAGATAAAATAATACACAAAGACATTCTCAAAACGGCTGGCAAGGGTCTAACTTTTCTTACAAATGTACTGTAAAATATGTTATTGTAATTAGTAGAGTGAATCTTAAACAGACAGCTTGACTGGCCAAATATGCAGAAGGGCAAAGTTTCTCTGAGCCTTTTCCGAAGCCGCTGGATCATTACATGCTTAGGGTAAAAATAAATAGGTAAAAAAGTGGGTGGAGAAACCTTTGCAGTTAAGAGAAAAAAGCGTTCCGCTCGAAGGAAATGGGTTTATGAAGTTCCAACTCAAACGTATTTACTCAGACTCGTTAACTATTCCCATTTTTAAGCATCTCAGCACGCATCTCTCAGCGAATTTAACAATTTTACGTCCTCTACGTTTGCTGACCATTATCTAAGACGAATTAGCAGAAAACCTCCAATTTCCTCATTTTCATTCTTAGAATATTTAAGGTCGGCTAACATTTACCCACGTTTAGAAGCAAATCTAGAAACATCCATCGATCTTGCATTTAATCGTTTAGTTTCATCGTTAGAAATATGTTGTATCTAGTAGAATCTGGGCACGCATGAGATATATATAGATTTGACTCAGCGATGTCCTGGGGTTTTCTGACGTTTATCGTTGGTTTTCAATACATACTTAATTGAGCAGTAACTGATAATTATTACTACGAGTTCATATCGCTCAGCTCTACCAGCATGGCTTCTATTTGTGAGCAGTGAATTTCAGTTTTACTATATATTTCGACTGTGGAAAACAAGTGACTACGGCTCAATTCGACGCTGTACTATTACGAGAAGCTGATCAGCCTATGAATCGTCACCGGTCCCCTGTTTATCGACGTCGTAATTCTTCGTAGTCTCCAGCGGCAAAGGCACTATTTGTCGTGACTAGCGTAACTCAGGACAACAGCATCGTCACCTGCTAGACTGATCTGAACGCTCTCCTGACGCATTCTACTCAGCTGTTATGACTACTCATTTATACTATCATCGAGAAAGCAGCGAAAATGTGACAGCGTTATTGACCCTCTTAAGCACTCGTAGGAAGAAACAATCGAAGCTTAATAGTTGATGACCAGCAAATAGGACTTAAAGCACTCGCCATTGCAACGAGGACATACGGCGGCTTGAGCGGTAGTCAAGGCTTATTCAATTGCCACAATAGAGACAAGTCTGGAAAAAAAACTACGCTACTCATAAGCATATGGCAGTAAGGAACTGCTGAAGTACGTTCGCCTAGTAACTGCTCCCTATTAAGCAATTGCATTCAATAGCCTGCGTCCGTTTAACGCTCGCTCCCTTTCCTTCTTTCTGTCTCTCTCAGCATTATGTGGCTATTACATGCCAAGGCAGATGCCGAAAGCGCTGAAGCTGCTTGTGTCTGCAAAGGTGCCTATACGGTTGGGCTTATAAGCTGACCCGTTTATCGATAGCCTTACCTAGCGTCCTGCCGTCAAGTGCTGGCCTGTCATATGAGTGATCTACGATTGTCGGGGATCTTATGGAAGAATCGCTACTGTTTGGCCACATTTGCCATCAGCTCTCGATTCAGTATTTCCGATCGGGTTCGACGAAGTTCGCTTCATTTTCAAGCTGATTGGCAACTGACGACTAGCGGTGGGAGGGTATTGAGGCGCTGCATACCGAACCAAAAATGAAGTCCGGTCGAAGAAAAATAGTTAGTGCTAAATTTGGTGCAACCGAACGAACAAATGCTACTTCTAGGCGAATATACTACAGATAGAAGAACTGACGATATCGGTTAAAATATTAAATTTATGAAACGTGGTTGATACGATGTGACCTTGGTGGTTCTGAAGGCCTTGCTTCTATATCTGGTTATTTTTGTATTTGCATAATCTGTGAGCGTTTAGTGTGTGTACCAGTTGTTAGCAGAAACGCCAGTTTCTGTTGAGCGGATCGGCGAAATCATAGAGTCAAACATTGAAAGGGTGTCGTGTTGTGTAAATGTGCTCCTGTTCCCCAGTTAGAACAGATAATGACACTACTGTTCAGGTGGGCATCACTGCAGTGTGTGTAAATGTGGTGGGCATATTCCCTGGTGTCGTTTAAATGCTCGGAACGTCTCCTTATTGTGTCAGTGGATATATCGAAATAATTGAAGGACGGCGCCTATAGTAGGTGTATTCACAGCTGTTGCGTTGACTTTGGCAATTGAAACTATATGATTATTTGTGCCTTGAGGATTTGTACTTTACGTTTTTGGATGCAGTTATCGGCCTTCCGCAGGGGTAAGTGGGTCCGGGTAACTGTTTCAAGTTGCCTAACGAAACTTGTGTGAAGACCGACCGGAGAACTTCCTTCGCCAATAGCATCCAGCTGCGTATATTCAAACGATCGTATGTGTTTGCAGAGCTGCACAGTGTTTTCTGTTCATTTGATAATTTCAGTGAACTCGTGTAATTTTCTGTATAAATATGGCGTCATAAACGTTCAAGGTCGTTCTGACACTAACCATTCGATTTTACAAAACGTGGTCGCTTTCGGCTTTTTTGATCAGCCGTTTCACTTATAGACCGTACCCTGTCACCTTCGTATATGGGGCTAACCTATGGGACCGATAATCCCGTGCGTGCTGCCATGCACGACAAGTTATCCTATTAGCAAGCAGTAGAAAGTCTCTCTCGCTAGAAATTCTGTGTTTTCTCATGAAAACAAAGGTGGAATCATAACAAGATCATATGAACAAAACGGGGTGAACTGTTAACGGGAAAAGGCAGGAGAACTGGAAAGCTGTCGTGAGCAAGCATGAGCTACTGACGGCATTTTCCACGTACGCCGGCGTCGTCGAAAGCAAGCACCGGCCGGAAAAGTTCCCACAGACTAAGGTTCGTGAGTGCAGGCGAATGCTTCACGCGAAAGACTTTGGTGAAAAAGCCAGGAAAAGTCAGCTAGACATATCTGCAAAGAAAACGATGGCGGATGCCTCCTAGGGGCCGCGCACTACTAGAGCAAAGGAAACTACTGCTAACTGGCATGGATTGACGTAAAGAAAGGACTATTTATAGATCGGAGCTCAGGGCGACGTAAAACCGACGTGCACATGGCATGTGACATCGTCAGAAAGTAATATAATGCTTATGCCAGCTAACTGGTGAGCAGGAGCCAATCAAAAACATCAGTGGAAAGAAAGATAGATTCTAGGTAACGTCATCAGGCGCTAATATAATCTTTCACTCAAGTGCACTAAAATTATTGGCTGTACGTTTTTTCGTTGACTTGGTGTTCGCATACTACGGTTGCGGGCCTTACCGACACCTTGTGCCTACGTGCTTCTTTAGGAAAGAGGTTACGGAGAGTGCGAAAGAAAAAGGTGAAATATATAAATTTCGCTTTCATAACGGAACATGTCAATGCATACATGTATTTCTTTTATATCATAAGGCAAGGACAGGTTTTTCCTTACAGAAATTCTTGAGAAAAGCTTAGCGAGTGCGCGGTGAGAGTAGATAATGAGCAACGTGGTGTTACGCAGGCACAAATAACCATGTCTGGCTTTATGTATCAAAAACACATATGAACTAGTAAACTTTTAAGGGGCTTGTAAATATATCCGCAAGCTTTTTTGTCTGCATGCGGGGCGCAGTAGTAAGCGTCGTGTGCTCATTGACGGAGTGGTCTGGGCCTGGGAACAAGCATAAACACAGTTGGTTTCGGGCGAGGGGCTAGTCATTCGAGGCAATAATTAACGGTAGTAGCGGAGGTAAAATTGAAGACTTTATTTACATTGTGATTTCTTGCCACAGATCGCCAAAAACTAACACACGGCTCTTAAAAATATAACAAATCATGGGACTATATCGACTAACATTAATTTCAGGCGACCGTTGAAAACAACTGTGACAATACAAGGAAAAATTACTTCCATAGTAGATTACTAAGGGGGCATTGTAACTATCAATAATTCTGTTCTTTGATTGCTCTTTAAACAGAGAACAGAAGAAATTTCAGAAAAATCAACGACTAGATTTGCTTCTTTATAATTCTGCAACGCAAAAAGATATTTAGTTCACTGAAGTCGTCTTGCCCTCCCTTCTAGCTTGGTCGAAGAGACAAACAGATCGATCGCACAAAGTTTTTAATCCGTAAGCGTTTCACAATGTTGATTTTAGATAGCATTATTTTAATAAATCAATCTCTTGTTAGAAAAAAAAAAGAGAGGCAAAATAATCGTTGACACAGCTGAGACCTGAGAGTTTCGCCGACGTTCACCTTACCACTATATCGATAATACTGAAAAATGCGCCCATAATTAGGTATCTAATGCGAATGCTGTACGAAGCTTTATCTCAGAAGAACGAAGGTCGGCTTTCATTGTCCCGAACCATTTCTCCTACTTGCCTCTTAACTCTGTTTGCTCCTCGCCCTTTAACCTCGTCAGAGAGTAATAGCATATCTTCGTATTGAATCAGTTGGCAAAAAATTGATCAGGTAACTTTTCACCCGCACTTTCCAAATTGTGTTTCTCATTTAAAACCTTTAATCATGATTTTCAGACTCTACTGTTTCTAACACTACAGGTGCTGGCTTGCCTGTACGATCACTTTTGGCCTTTTCCGTGTGTGTCATCGCAAATTGCCCCGGAGTAAACATCCAAGCCGAGACTCCTTTCTACCTTATCAACGTTTGCTATGCAAATGTGAATTGAAAATGTTTAGAAAACTTTTGCCCTCAACCTGGAAGCAAACAAAGAAAAATACGCGGAAACGTGAAACAGCGGTCAGGATACTGTCCTGCGTGGAAGACGTTGTGCGTTGTTCATAATGTTTCTGCGTGTCTGTTCGACAACACGAGGGAGATAGCGGCGCCGGTTAGCTATAGGAGACGAAAGAAATGGAACGAAGGTAAGCCTAATGATTTAGGACAGTGATCGAATTTGTTGCAGGGCTAGCGGCTCTGGTTCGTTTACGCTCTTTACTACATCTAAGTATTTGCGCGCAGATAGTAGAGCCGTGATGCGCCTCCCCTGATCATATTAAATCTTATATTTCGGAATAATGCTATTTAATGACGGCGCGACATTTCACTCTTTGGAACCTAAAGCCATTCTTTGGAATCTAAAGCCATCGGGTTCTATCACTCACGTTTCGAGCAAACGTTGTGGCGGGCCATGAAAAATCAAATAATTCATGTAAATATGAGCTCCATCTTGAAATTTCAGTAGCGGAAACAACAACTTGCAATCGGTGAAGGTTCTGTTGTTTGCCGTTAGCTGAAAGAATGAATGTCATAAAAGATTGAATGGATTGAGCTGCGGTAGGAGCTGACCAACATTAAAGTGCGTAGAGGTTAGCATTTAGGTTTGATGTATGTCGTATTATTATAGGTGTTTGTCTCGGTCAAGTTAGGAAGGTAAACAATGGAACTAGTTATTGAGAACATTAAAGACAGATGTCAAGACGCCCGCTTTTCTCGTTTTTGCACAGAATTATAACTTCTAATGAAATATGGGTACTTGATGGCTGGGTAGCCGCAGTTCGACTGGCCGAGAGATTACCCCGCAAAAAAGCAAAAGCAGAAGTTTATAGTGTATGTCTAATGGTTAATGCAAGTGTTATCCATCGATTCCATGGAGATCGAAAATGTGCCGTAAGTAACCGAACAGAAAGAAATCAGCTTTTTGTAGCCAAAACTACGACGATAATGAGATTTTTGAAAAACACTTATTGGTCGGGCAACTTTAAGTCGAGCTCAGCTAGTATTAGGAGCTGAACGTCGATAGAACCTGCCAAGAGTGATGATAGCAAATAGCATCCGTTTGGCTCCAACCCCAAGACGAGAGTCTAATTTTTACTCTCAGCTCACAGTTGGTTATCATCTCTAAAAAGCGTCTATAATCAGCTGGATACAGTGCGCTTCACCCATTTGCTTCACCATAACAATAATACTCGTGACGAAGGAATAGCGGCAAACTCGCTTCAGATAAACTTCCTGTGGGAAAGTAAGTTGGGAACAATCGCCTGTATCTTCCCTGTATCTACTTTGAACTTTGTTATTTCAAATGATTTAAACAAGTGACCTATAAGCAGTAGTACCGATTAAATTACTATTATTTTTATTAAATTGTAATATGTTTATTCACTGCAATCAGCTTTCTTGTTAGCAATCGACTATTTCAAGCGATTTAATTTACCTAATAGATAGACTAGTAAGCCACAGCAACTTATTTCGGCGCTGGAAGATGCTTTATGACGAATTCCGTACTCAGCATTCCCTTTGAAATATTGCCCTAGAAATGCCCCTAGATCCCGATACAGGGATGCTTACTGTTGGCAAAGGATATTTCATTGTAGGAGAACTACTGCAGTTTTCCTTATCTAGCCGATAACAGAGCTCGGCTAACTATTTTATTCAATATATGTTAGTATCATTCGGGTTTTTATGTGTCGTCTACTGTGGCGGCTTCTGCCGCGGCGTGTTTAGCGACTCGCGATCCTTGCATTGCAGTCATGCTTGGGTGACGCACATTATACTTCGAGGTTGTGCGAGGAGCTGACGTTTCCGCTCGCAACAATTGCGTCTCCAGGTCAGTCTACGACTGATGGGCCGCTAGCGCATACTGCTTTACCCCTATAGCTAATCAGGATTTGATGCCGAACGACCTGCACTCGGCTATACCGGGGCCACGTTCGAACTCTAGGTCCAGCATGAGAGACCAGAGAAGCCCAATCCCACTTACCCTCTTACAGCACTCCTTTATGGTTTACGCAGAGGCGGGATGCTCATATTACAATCCAGCGGTCGCCCTCTGGCCCGGATAACTTTATTTCAGCTAAAAGCCATGGGATGGCCATAGGAAAAGCGGGGCAAAGATATATCGCTTTATCATGAATGCAAATTGTTCTCGAAATTCGCCCGTAGCTATGCCGAAAAAACAATAGGCCATGACTAGGTCCAATTTTTGCTGAATTGCAGTTTTCTTAGACCTGACCGACTGCGCGCGTGATGGCGTTGGTTGATCACTTCTATTTGATTTTTTAGCTTCGGGAACACGTGAAACGTGGTTACCTATCCAGGGTTTCTTTCTCTTTGACGGCGTTTTCCTTGTTGTTTTGGTGGCTTCCTAATAGAAGTTCTCATTTGATGCGCTCAAAGATTGCACGTTGCTCAGTCGTTGATCATCTTATAGCAGGAATGTATGTTGTGGCTAGTCTAACACAGCTATTTCCCCCGGGCAAGGCAGGGCAGAAACCCAAAAAGCATGTGCACATATAATGCTAAATATGGATGCACGTATCTACCCGCATATAGGCATGCATGATTTCTTTTTAATATGATGCACACTGAGATACAACAATAGCGAACTGCTTTGTGTTAAACTTGAAAGCGAACTAGATAGGACATGTAAATGAGAGCAACTTGAGCATGCTATGGCTTGCATTAAATAACGTTAACGTTTTTCCTGCTTAACTTCTTATGATTGTATTGATGTTTGAGAAGAAGAGTTTATGATGCATCACGTTGAACAAAGATGTGCACGTAATATCTAGATGTGAGGTTCGTTATAACCAATTACACATACCTGGACAAAATCGATCCCCCTCACCAGTTTGAGTCGGCTTTCGGCTGACGTCCTAGCGACCGAAGTCCGTTAGACGTCCGTGAATCGAGCGGTTAGGCTTCGGGCCGACGTGTGAAGCCTGACCACTCGATTCGTTCATGGATCAAAAAAGAACCTCATTGTCGTATATATGGACAGATTTAGCAGCTGAGTTACTTGTGTAGGAGGACAATGACGACGCTTAGTTCACAGGCATGGTTATTAAACTCAGTCTCACTTAAGCATTTGTCCAATATGCTGTGCACATATCATATAGGCAGCCTGCGAGATTAGAGAAACTAAAGTAAAAACAGAACATTCTTCGAATTAATTAACTATGAAATGACTTATATTATGTAGTTCTGAACTATTACGTTCGATCTGGAACGATTACGATCGAACGTTTTATATCTGGAATATTCCGTTAAAGAAAAGTCGATCTGTGGCAAATTTCATGCGAAGTAGCTTTGTAACGGATACGACGTTTCCTCCTTGCAATCGCCACTCAGTTGATATCGTAATTAACGTTTTTCTTTTTCGGGAAAAATATCTATTACTTACCAAAAAACAAGTCCACGTGTTTCGACGAACCTTATTTGTCTCTACTAAGTTATTCAATTGTCATCGAAACGCTAACTTACCGTCCGCAAGATAGATCGACATCGTATTTGCCTTATCCACTCCGTTTCCCTTCGTACATTTTGCATAGAGGTAAACCTTCGCGGTACAATGATGCATCCTTATAAAATATCTCAGCAATTTTAAGAACAGAGTTGACTTTTTTCGAAAGTAACTGGCTCAGTTGACTGACATTTTAACTAAACGAAGTGACGTTCACTATTCGTTTATATGATTACGTACGTTTATAAGAATCGTTCTTAAGGTTCGATCCGGCGAGTGCGTTCAATTTGTGCAATGAACATCATACATTTGTGAAGAGTCGCCGGTGTGCATACTTGGGGACCATTTCCAATAACTTTATAAACATTGTGGTGACAACGACAAGTCATTAGAAGTATCATTTATCTGACTGACTGGGTGCTGAAAATTTCATTTTAAGTTAACGCAAAGTTCTGACGAACGCATCTGATGAGACTCATTTACATATTAGCTTATGCTAGCTAGTGCTATCTTTTCTCACATCTATGAGCAGTGAACGCTCATCAATGGCCTTCGACCCCTCAGCACTTGGCACTGATTCCCCCCCCCCCCCCCTTTAGCAAAATCATCCTCTCCGAGAGAATCCTATTCGAAACACTTCTGTGTCGAACGATTTATGCGGGCGCCGTCGAAGATCCTACCGACGTTCACTATAACCGGTTGTGCTGCGCCGACGTTTCAGCTTTTATTCGAACGTAGTTTATGCCGTGCGTTTATCACGCGTTTACTAACAACCTCTCCACTCTAGGCAATCTGAGTTAACGTCATGTTGATCGGGTGACGAGGACAGTGCGATGTCGCGTCGTCCTTTGGCACAAACGCGGCGTCGTGTTTCGGTTCAGATGATACTAGTGATGGCCTACAAAAGTATTTTGCGTGTTTTTTTTTTTTGTTATATACACACATATGTGCACTAATTAGTGTTTGGTGGAAAAACACTGCCGATCACATACGCTTCGTTGCCGTACCATCCTTTAAGAAACACTTACAGGATGACAGTTTATGATATTGCCTCTAGCGGGCACACACTGACACTAACACTGATTAACCCAATTAGAAATCGAACATCCTTCTTGCTACTGGAAGCGAATAATAAACTTGTATCTAGATGCGCTTGGTACTTATTTCTTTATGAAATAATAGAATCTTTAAGCAAAGGCGGATAAATTCGAACAATTTACTTCGAAATATGCTCAACTCGAGAAGCCGAAACCATTTTGTCAAAAGTGGGGATGGTCATCACTTTACCGTGGAGTTGTTAGGCAAGCCTACTGGGCAGACGGTCAGGCATTTCTTAATAATCGTGCTTCTGGCAATATATTACATAATAAATCATGCCTTAATGTTACTGATTGGCTGGTCATTTTTTATCACTTTACTTCTTTAGCCTCAGTAACAGAGATAACCACGGCAGTAACAGCAGCGTAGGAAACCACCGAAACTGCAACGTAGGAAGTTATTCTACTGGCCTCGCTACCGGTTTATCCGCAAACCAACTTTAGTCTTCAGTCTATCATTTTCCACGCAGTGGGTCGTTGTCAGAAGGATTCTTCCTGCGAGCTGCTGCTGTTCTTTCCGACTTAAAGGTGTCGGATGACTTTAGTGCGCCTAGCCCACGAGCCTGCCAAGGACGTGACCGGTCACGTTGTTCGAGTTAAGGTTTTTTGCCCGCCCTAACGAGACGTATCCGCACCTAGTAACAGAAGTTCGTCGTACTGCGAAGAAATTCGGTAGTACGCCATTTGAAAAACGGCCGTCTATAATATGAACCTGTTAGAGCTCAATAACTTTTAGCTGAAGATTGACTATGCAACCAAGTGGCGATGGTTACGACGAAAATTATTCATATTGACGTAAGATAGCTTTAACGAGGATTCTCCGTAGGACAACATCACACATTTGGCGTCTACTCAGATAATTATTCTAACAAATAAAGTCGCGATACTCGTCTAATAAAAACATCGCGTGCGTCTAGCTGTTTGTAGCACTGTAAACCAAGTGATCACTGTATCTTGCAGAAGATACGGCTTTTCTATTCTGTATCAATTCTATGAAAAGCAAAGAAAACATAAGTGGCAAAGAAGAGCTCCATCTAGATATAATAAAAACGCTCTTCAATCTGACATGAGGGCCTGCGAACCAATTTGCGCTTTTCGCTTCATTTACCTGTTTCGGTAATCGCCGTTCGTATTGCTCGCGCCCTGAACATAGGAGACATGTTATTTAGTTGATCTCAAATCGTTCATACAACTACATTTGATTTCGAGACACTGCCTGTTTGAGGGGCAGTACAATAACCAATAAAATTCTTCAATAATATCACTAGTTGTTCATATATCTTATAGTTGGTATCTGACTCATATAAACCCTACCAAATGGGGCTATGTGGGCCAACAAGGTAGGCGTCTTCAACACATATTTTCTTGAAAATAAATGTTTTGTAGTGAGTGTTTCCCATTTCGGCCATATAAGTCATTGACTGATATATCGCCATGATGACGGTCAGAAACGATGTTTTTTATATTATATGTTTCGCATTCGTCATTATTTTCCACTGAATTTGTTATACTGGTGAGAGGTTTAGGTAGACTAACGGAAGTTCTAGTAACTATGACAATTAGAGGCTGCCTTTGAAACTTGCTTTACAATTAAACAATTACCTTTGCCAACGCCCGCTAGGGTATGGCTGTACACTATGAGCCAAGCGAATTCATAGCTATTTCGATAGCAGGTGTGCGTCTCTGTTTTTCCCGTTTGTAATATTTAAAGCCATTTTGTATAACACACCCAATAAAGCAAACTCGAATATGACCTTTGAACATCTTCAAACTTGCCGCAAAGAACTTCTCAGCTGAAACTGATCTAATCGATAGCCCCTGGTCATACAGCGAGTGCTTTGTGTCTTTGTTGTTAGCTGCGTCAATCCCTTTTTACTCTGTGGGGGCTATCCTTTCGTTAAAACTACCTGCTTGCTTGTGATCCACTAACTGGAGCAACAGCAGTAACGTCAGCGGCCGTCAAAAACAGTCCCAACGCACCTACACTCCCTTTCGTACGTGTGTTGGTATGCCAGGTGCTCTGTCACTTTTTCTGCCCGGGATCTATGCTAAGACTGCCAGGGGCGTATCTATTGCTCGTAGCAATTGCCCTTTCATAGCGCTTTCTCTTTCCATCGTGTAGTTCACGAGGATTCTCGCTAAAACGTATCGCTACCTGCGCCGCTATCGCCTTTATCCTTCTTGTTTCCTTTACGCCTTTTTTCAGGCGCCTTATTCACTTCTAAGCGCGTTCCTTGGTGCGCTGTTATCACGGCCGTCGAAGGCACAGCAACGGTGCTAATCACACTCGCTGGAGTGGAACCACCAGAAGTGGTCCTTATCCCGTGAAGGCGCGAAAAACTTCCTCTGACTCAGCGTTACTGGGCGCCTCTCAAGTGGAGTTCGTCTCCGCCGGTCTGTAGTCGAGGACAGCGACGGAGAGGAGGACGGACGACAGACCTTTTATTACAGGAAGAGCAGGCCGGCAAGCAAGGAGGCCAAGTCCGAAAAAAAAAAGCTGTGTAAAAAGGGTTTTCAAGAATGTGAGGTGCGAGCTGAAAGTCTTTTTATATATACACGCACAGCATGGCGGCATTGCCGAGAAGACGTGGTGGACTAGAGAACTTATCACATGCTTGTTCGGTAAGGAAGCAGAACAAATTGTCTGTACTGCTCTGCTACACTCGCTTCTTATCCATCTTCTGGTGAATGATAACATTCAGCGGAATGCTTGTAAGACAGAGAGGTAAGGAATTTGTATGTGCGTAAGGTGTAGCCGGTGATTGTGCCGGTATTACACATTCGGAGATACGAATAGGGGTCGAGTTCCTCTTGTCGTTCGTCGAACGGAATGGCAGCAGCTTGACTTCGTTAGAATGACTGGGTAGCTGGAGTGACGGGATAGGTAAACGTCACAAGTTGAAGCTGGACGGACCGAACCGGAAATCGCCATCCATGCGGAGGCTTAGGTAAGTTCAAGCACTTCGGGCTCTTATAGTCCCTCTTATTGAGACGGACCTTTAGTGTTGTCAGAGAACATAAGCAATTTTCGCGCGCGATTAGATCAAACGCGGCTGGGATGTGGAGGTAGAATAAGATCCGTTACTATCGTTAACAATCCTTCACTGGCTTGTTGTGGAAATACAAAACGGAAGCACTTCTTTGTTTAACGAATCACGATACTACGAACTACTACGTAAGTTCTGATAAAAGAATGTTGGGGGGTGTATTGCTTAAAATGACATTTTGCCTTTACTTTCATTCCTGCGGCTCACAAATATACGAAGGAATCGTAGTGTTACTTATATATATATATATCTGTGTGTGTGTATATCCATCCCAAAACAATAACAAAGTGCATTGAGAAAAAAATTTTGCCCTAACACCAGTATTCATACGCCGTACAAAACCCCTCGACACTGAGAAATTTATATCGCCACTGCTCATAGGCCACTTGTTTTTGTTTGGAATCCCACAACTAACGTTGGGTAGTGGTAGCCGTCGTTTCTGCGCGTCGATTCTTCAGCAGGACTCCCTGTCTTTGCCTTCTGTCTGCGCCAAAAAAAGAAGTGGTGAGCGCTGTAAAAGATACATTCTGCCAACGACAGCGTGAAAGTCGTAGCAGCTGAAACGGTAACAACCACGGCAACACCCGGATGACACTGCTGTATCAAAAGAAGGAAATAAACTCAAAAGGAAAAAGATCAGAAAGACGTACTACAGAACAGATAGGGGGTGTAAGGTTGATAGGAATAAAATTTTAAACAGAAATTGGGCATCCTGCAAGCATGCAAAGCAGTGATTTCCCATAGCTAAACTAGAAGATAAATAATTAGAAAATAAGAACATATTTTGACATAAGGACACCCAATGACATACTATGTAAGTGGAAATAACGATGGATAGGATGAAATAGGTAAAACCCCGAACAGCAAACTACCTGCTAAAACCTATTACCACCCAGAACACATTTCGAGACGTTTGCAAGCTTGTTCTAAAATACATTGCTTCAATTCATTTTTCTAGTTTGTAGAACATGCGACATCTACTAACAGTTTATCTGTCACCCAAAAGAGCTGGAGGCAATGAAGTCCTGCACTTTTCATCTCGTTTTGAGCCTTCTTGTCGAGAATCTCCAAACGCGACGCGCCGACAATATAGTGCATTAGCAGAATTTAGCTCCCAGAGCCCCTTCTATTTTGATATCCCCCTGTCGCTACGAAGCTCCACCGACTCGACAGGTTGCTGCGCGATCCTAAAAGCTGTCAGGTTCGCATAAGGTCTTTTCATGCATAGTTGCATTTACGGCGTGCAGCGGCGTTTTCCACCAGGCAGATGTTCTTTTTGTGCTCAGGAAGTATATAGCTTAGCATGCCCCTACATCTGCTTAAGCAATGAAAACAGCTGGAAAAGCCGCACTGACCCCCCGGAGCTGAAAAAGATGTGGACCGACGCTGAAAGAGGAGATTTAGGATGGCTTTGCGTTTCGCCCGGAAACAAACATCGTTACAAGTTGTTCAGGCACCAGGACCGAGCCACTGCGAACGTAAGTGTGTAAATGAAGGAACAATCTAACCAAAAAAAGGGAACTCGTAACCTCTCGAAACTAGGCTTACCAACTGTTGCTTGCTACACAAGCACATGTGTGGTAACATGTAGAGGGCGATTTTGTTTAGAGGCTTTGCGCTCTACGGCTCGACTAACGGTGCTAAGTCTGGACTAGAGGAAAATACGGGTCGTGTACATGTGCGTGGGATCATCACGGAAGGACGACATCTTCCTACTCTAACCTAATATTGTTTCACGACCGCCGGGAAAATGCTCAAGAGCACACGACAAGGGACAAAAGCAGGTTAAATTGCAGCTACGGGCAAATGGGTTGGTAACTTCAACTAACCTGTTGCCTGTAAAAAGAGTGCCGTGGCGCAAAGGCCAGTTCGTACGTATAGTGAGCTGCTGTAAACACAAGAACATTGTTCCGTTGAATATAAATGTGTAGGTAGTTACTGGTGATAACAACGTGGCCATATACCGTACTAAGCGCACGTACCTCACGTTTATAAATGCTTGTGAAGGAGAGGACCCCTTCCTATGCTGTTGTTGCTAAAATATCCAGTCCAATAGGCAGCTATGTCGCTCGATAATACGGTAGAGTATTTTGTATTATTATTTGATAACACAGGAACAAAGATTTATATATATATATATATATATATATATGTATAAGCTGTACGGAACATTAAAGCTGCCTTTTAAGGCTGCTGAACTGCCAGGTTCTATAAAGCAGCATGAGTTATTGTGCACTCTGTGTTTCAATGGATGTTATTAACTCCACAAAATTATATTGTACCGGATAAATGTATCTGGGTGGTCACTGTGGATTTGCCTACAGTTGAGCGATTTTATGTATACTTTGCTTACGAAACAACACCAAACATGGGGTGTTGGCCATAAAAAAAACGCGACGTATTAGACGTTGACGAACACATATCCTTTAAATTGAGCTAAACGTACAGACACTAATAACGACCCGAAAAAAAATTCTTGTAAAAACTACGTACTATATCAATTCATAGATTATCGTAACAAAATACCGTATACTGTTAGGCTGTTACAAGCGAACCCGGCAGACCTCGACATTGAATAGCTTGTTAAGTACGCGCCGTTAGCAAATAAAATAGGCTGAGAAATACTCTAATTTTCTGGAGATGTTGGCGAAACGAAAGTTGGCTGAGTTTACTTTAGGGGAAACGGCTTCCGGAGGAAAAACATCCTTTAGCCTTGAGGATCAGCTCTTCAGTTTTCGCACCTCGAAGGTTTTAGCGGTGCAGAAATTCATCGGAGATCGATGAAGACGTTAGACACAGTACGTAAATTGTGCAAGCATTTTAAGGACGGAGATTGATTAGGGAGAAAGTGACCAGACGCAGCACTCGAAGGACGAGGATGCATTGCGCTATCGAAGAAGCTTCTCACGAAAGTTAAAGGCTACGATCTTTGTCGGGCAAGACTGACTCTTCATATGTAACGTGTTAGAGAGCTATAACCTAAACACTGAATGTACTGAAGCTGAATAATAAAATGAGTTTCTCCGAACCGTTCCAGGATAGTAGGATTGGCACGTGACGTATTTGACGTGCAACTTTAGTTAACAAAAACCTTCCATTGCTCGATCTCTATTGCCAGGCGGAGGGAAACTAGGCAAGAGAACGGCGTCGCCAAGAAAGCAATCGAATTTGCTAGCAGATACTACTATGCGTCACTTACTTTATGGATTGCGCAAAAGAATATTACTCATATATGACTCAACCTGCTTATTCTGCTAACCTAAATCCGTGTCGCTACGGGCCTTTCTATGCCCCATAGAAAAATTGGTGGACAAGCATATCGACCCGTTTCGGGAAGCCATAGATGGGGAAATCACATATGGAAATAGGAAAGGCAGGTGGATTATTGTCCAAAAGCGCTGAAACACGTGTGTAGAAATAGAAAAGAGTATATATAACACATATTAAAATAATTTCTGACTGGTTCAAAGGTTATTCGACTTCAAAATCCACCGAATTCGCTTATAGCAGCTTAATAGATACCCATATATATATATATATATATATATATATATATATAACACTTCTTTCACCGTAGAATGATCAAATGCTAGCACCAGTTACCTCGTACATCCAGTTCGAGAACTGCCAATTACGCGTACGATCCACAGAGGTAATTGGTAGTACCAGCGATGAGTAGCAATTTTAACCCATTCATTTCATTATGCAGATTAAATAGGTTTAGATATTTAGCCACAGTTGAGCATTGGCTCAGAGGGCTTTGGGACTAATTATACAGGGACACAGGTACAATCTATGTACCAATGGGCTTATTCTGATGTCGTTGAAGGAGCTGTTTTCACAGTACTCTGCTCTCCGATCGTTGCGTCTGCGAGAAGTTCGCCAGACCTTCACAGTTAACAGTACTGTTATATTTGCTTGATTAAATACATATATTTTTGGCACTTCCTAACTTATTAAAGGTGAAAATTATCTAAGGGTATGAGTACCTGGTCTGAACAGATATTTATCCTTTGGTATTGAACTATAAAAAGGTACATTTTGTAAGGTTGCAAATTATTCCATGTTATTATTAGACATGTTCAAACGAATGCGTCTAGGTAAACATGACGCCGTTTACCACGAAATCTGAGATCTGCAACCTACTCAAAGTTTGCCGCTTCGTATAGCTTGAGTGTGCATTATAATACTGAAACTTATCATTAATGAAAGGTCATGGCTTGCCTTTAAGAACCTGAATCTATTCTGTTCCTTCCCTATTAAGGCCGTTGCACGTATTTTAAGCAGCCAGAATTTATACGAAACGGTTTAGGACTACTTGAACATTTGTTTGCCTATCTATGTCTGTTGATTGTCGCTGCTCTATCCAATGTGATCTTCTGTGGCTTCGATCTTAGCAGACAATGGAATGACGAAGTAGACCTCCATGTTTAAGAGACTAGTCTACGAGATAGATCAACTAGCTAGTGCTATCAAGCTTTCATATGAAAAATATTTGAAGCGAAATCTATTGATAGGTATGCACAAAATATTGTCCTCAATTGTGGCCTTATTGTGTCGATCAGCGTTCCCTTATGACCTAAAATCGTTTCGTTGCCTTATGGACACACTTAACAATTGCTATATCGATTTTTAACCCTATTTAGTATAAGTAATACGGATAACACTATTTTCCAACGAGCATTTTACAGTAATTGGTCTTTTTGTATCTGTAAAGATCCAAGCAAAATAGTTGTTCCGCCTAGGCGTATAAGTTCATTTTTTCTTAAAATTAACAAAAATAAGCTATATAAACACTGCCATGTATACGTACGTATATATATAGATGCGTGTGTATATGTCTCTTATCTGAACCGAAAATATAACCCGAGTCTGTCTCGTCACCCGATTAAAATAGAATT